GAATAGAAATATACGATTTCAAGAAATTGGAATTATGCGCAAATGAGAATCAGCTCGCCCCGCCAACTAGTTAGGCAATGTTTGCAATGAAAACGTGCTGTCATTATATAAATGCCCATTTGATTTGATATTTGATATGCATCTCTTATCTTATATATATATATATATATATATATATCCCATAGTTATACAAGACTTGCAATGCCCCCGTGAGGAAATCGATAAGGACTTTAGTCTTCGCTAAAAAAAAACCCTTTCAATCGTTCTCAAGTCTAGCTCAGGTGCAGGGTATTTGCACGTCGGCCTGCGCCGATTGCCTCAAAGCCGCGCTGAGCTTGTTGCGGCCTGCTCCAGTGCAAAGCTACTTAGAGGTGGGCCGAGTCTAGAGTCTAGGAGCATTTGCTTCGGCCTGCCACAACAATTTGTGGCAGCAATAATTAGTTATAAGCCGAATCGCATGCCGGAGCACGTAATCAGCGTGTGCGTCGTCAAGTGCAAGCCATGGCCACTTCATCTGTTGTGGCTCCTCTGCCATGCTGCAATCCGCCCCTCAACTGGCCTCCACTCCACTTGGCGCTTGAAGGCGTCGTGTGGGCGTGCGCGACTTCAGTTGATTTTCCTTTCGACTCAATTGCAGCCGGCGAAATGTTTATTATGTTCAGCTTTATTTGCGGCTGCTGCGTGGGTTGTTCTCAATTGCTTGAATGATGATTGTGTCAATATTGTTGCTGTTGCTGTTGCCTGATTATTAGGGACAGGTGCGTCATAATGCTGCTTATTACGACAACGGGCATATTTTGCCTCTTGTATCTTATTACGCGTTCTCATTTGCCAGCATTTGCGCCCACACACACGAAAATATTCCAATTTGCGGGCCAGTGAGTTCCCCAAACAGGCCAACAACTAGATTTAATTATTATTGTTGCATACTCGTTCCAACTCGTATAAAACTGATAATAAAAACAAGCCAAACGCAGCTACGTTGAGGCGAGCATTCGGGCCCAGTTGACAGCAGAGGCTGCTGCCTGGATACAAATGTCCATTTCAATTATGGTTTCAGCTTGACTCTAAAGCTGGCTTGTGAGCCAACTAATTATTGTAAAATATTTAAATATTTGCCAAATATTGTGATAGGCAAGCGGACAATATAAGAAGTCTTTGACTTACAGACAGTTTTTAGTCGAAGGCTAACAAAATTATGGCATTATTGCGAGTATATTAAATTATCTCAAAAGTTTAGAGAATTCTGTCAGATATTCGATTTGCTGCGCCAGGGGAATCAGGACGAGCTGAAGGATGACTCTTGATGTCTTTAGTTTCGTTCTCTCTCTCTGTCTCTCTGTCTCTCTGTCTCTCTCTCCCGAAATTGGGCGAAAACTGCCAAACTCCTTTCTTAAGCGCGTGGCAAATGATTATCCAAGTTTTGAGAGCTCCACAATAAAGAATCAATCAACTAAGAACTCGAATTGACCCTGATGTACAGTTCGTCCACGGAATAAATGTGCTTCTTGTAGTTGGTATACACAGCTCGTTGGGTCACCTTTAAGTTATGCGAAAAGAAAACAAACACGAAACCCAAACTTGGGCAATATTTATAAATGCATGGAAGTAATTAAATCTGAGGCTTATGGTCGAGCACACGCAAGCACTGTAAGAAAAATAACAAGGACAACAGACCACAAATAGAAAAAGGAAATATATATTCTTTTGTTGATTCTCTCGATTCAATGCTAGCCCAACAAATGTGTGTGTGTGTGTGTGTATTTGTATTTGCTATGCAAATTGTCTTCGATTTTCCGCGGTTTGCCGTGTGGGTCAAGCGGCAGCGGCAACAGTTGTGACATTGGAAACATTGAGAGCACCGTTCCAGTCGGCCGCTTTCCAAGCCAGCCCTGGAAGTCTTAAGTGTGTTGCCTACTTTGCTGCGCTCGCTTGGAACCGAGCCTGGAACACCTCGACAGCCGCAACTGTGCCACAGTCTAAAGCGACAACAACAAGAATAAGAACAAGAACAAGAAAAAGACTCTTAAATGAATAGAGGCCATAAACGAGAATAGATTCGCTCGGCGCCAGTTAACCGGCAACTGCTTCTGGGAAGTAACATTTCCAGAAGATTGGAAGTGCTTTGCTGGAAAGCCAATTTGCGTTGCCAAGCGTTCGAATTGCCAACTACAGCAGACATTTGCATTGCATTTCCATTTCTGTTGGCATTTCTCAATCATTCTGTCAGTTGGCAACATTAACAACAATTTGTTCGCAAAAAACTGAAATTGAGATCCCTTCAAATGAAAATTAATTAAAATGGCAATATGAACGTTGTGTTTAAAAATGGAATATACGAATTGCGAATCCCTAATGAGGCCGCAACTGGGAGCCACAAAACGTGGGAGTATCATTTTCATAATGCCTGTTTTATTATTAGAATGCGTAAAAAAGGCCAACATAACTGGCTGAAAAGAAAAAATGTTAACGGAAAACACAAAACAGAAAACAGAAAATATCTGATGTTCCACAAAAAATGCAGTGAGTGCATTAACAAAAGAAAAAAGAAAAATCTGCTCAAAGGAATTCCATTTAAATTTTCGTTTAATTTTATACTCTTGTCGTGGGCGCAGCTCGTTGCGGTGGATACACTTGTGTAGGTGTTGCTCCTGTGATTATGGCTGTTTGATATTGCAGCTGACCTTAATATCCGTGCTTACCTGTGTGGCCACAAACAAATATACATATACTTAGCTGCGTAGCTGCACATTGAGAAGCGCCGAGAGGGGCGCGCGCCCCTGAGATTGGCCAATAAACTAGGTATAAATGGCGTTGACACGGATACAAGCTGGAAACGGCCGGGCCAAGTGGGCGGCATTTGGGTGGTTGTCGTCGTCGTCGTCGTTTTTTTATTTTTATTTTCTTTTTGCAACTGAGAAATGGCCGCAATGAAACGTTTTCACACACAACACAACTGGGTGAAGGTTGTGTTGCGGCAGACATCATCAGCGAACAGCAGCAGCAATAATTTCATTTGATTCGCCTAGATTCTTGTTGTTGTTGTTCTTAATATTACACCTAATTTAACACACACACAGACACACACACACACTGGCACAGCAGCAGACTCGCGCGAATTGCGGCATGCACCCACGCACAATGTTGCATGAGTCAAGTCACATTCACATTGCACTTACAAGCTTTTTCCAATTGATCTGTTCCGGAAGCTATTTTCAATGCCACGAACCCAGTGAAAATGGTTAAGGAAAAGGCTGTTGCTGGCAAGTGGCAAGTGGCAAGTGGCAAGTTTAGCTGCAAGCCAGAAGGAGACGCCTCCAATTCAGCAGAGCATATCTATTCTTAAGTCGATCTACCCCACTCTCGGTTAACCTGTCTGTTCGCAGACTCAAAGACTTTCAAATTGGAAAATCATGTAACTTTGTATATCGTAGAAAAAGTCGATGTTTATCGATTAACGCGCATTATCGATAAACGGCGATTATGAAAGAAGATCGAAGAAAAACTTAGCTTAATGCCAACAGTTTGAGAATATTTCAAATGGAACCCGAAAACGTTTCTTAGAATTTGAATGAACAATGCTAGTTTTCTGTACGCCTATTTTGAAAGCATCGAAAGGTTAAATCTTTGTAGGCCATGCTATTTGAAAAAAATCAATATTAATTCCTTGACGTGTTTTGTGTTCATTTGAAGTGAAGAAATACCCAAATAATAATAAAATTCAATTTCCTTTTCGTTCGTGCCGTTAAGTGATTTGTGATTTGTGCAAAGGCCTAAAGTTTATCCAAGTAGCTCCAATAGAAACTTGAAACCAACCAAGTAATACAAATTATGGAACAATCAAAGGGTTCACTCGTTTAATATAGATCGTAAGAGACCAAGTTCAAGCATTTTATTCGATACACAGCTTCCCCTTCACTTAGCTTTGATGCCTTTAAGTTCTGATTTTGTGCATCTTCCGAAAAGCTAACGAATATCTGATATTAGCTTGGTCTGTGCTTGGTTTCCTGGCATCCATATGCCCGATTTAAGTTCTCCAGAAGTTCCAATTAACCAAATCCCTTTGCCTGTTGCAAACATTTGAACAGCTCAAGCTTATTCCAGGGGTTAAAAGCATAAAACAGTTCATCTAAAGTCATTTAATTCCACTTGCAACAGTGGAAAATTGGTGGAAATCTTTTGCATGCATGTTTTTTCTCTTCCCTGATCTCTCCAAGATTTCATCTGACACGCAAATCACATTTTTCGTCAAATCCACGCACGATTCGCTGGTGAAATTGAACTCAATTTATTTTCCCTGAGCTCTACATAAAATTTGTTTGATTTATATTGATTGAATACATGCTCAACATTAAGTTCACAGTCTAACGCGCAGCAACTAACATATTCTGGTTTTGCAACTTCATAAAATGTTTAATATAATGTGAGTCGGAATGTGCTGAATGTGAATGTGAATGTGATCGATTGTCCAAAATTGAGTGCATGCTGGATGAAAAAAGCCGCTTCAAGGTTTTATGGAAAACATTTTCAATTTTCACACCAATGACAAAACTGTTGGGCCTAGCAAAGCCGGCTAATACCCGCCAGTCATATATATATATATATATATATATATAGATGTACATTATGTACACATATACACCTGTGTGTGTGTGTGTGTATGTATTTATGCGGGTCTATGTGGGCCGCTGTCGACTAGCTGACCTTAGCGTGTGTTTCAGCTACAAAAACCTCATTATAGCCACAAGCACACACACACACACGCACACACAACACATACACATAACACACACACGCACACACAATAATGTCAATTAGAATATGTTTATATTTATAAGCTATAATTTGTTGGCTTATTGAGATTCAATAATTGTTTCGTCTAAGCATAGACAATATTTTTGTTTTAAGACAATATTTTGTTATCAAAATGTTTGTATAAAAAAAAGGTGAATATTTGTATTGATTGATTCGGTTTTGGTTTCTTCTTCTCTGTTGTAAAGGGCGGCTATCCGGCACGGCTGAAGAAGGTGCTGATTGTGACGGCGCCGCTGTGGTTCAAGGCGCCCTTCAAGATACTCCGCCTGTTTGTGCGCGAGAAGCTGCGCGAGCGGGTGTTCACCGTATCGGTGCCGCAGCTGAGCCTGCACGTGCCGCGCAAGGCGCTGCCAGTGCATCTTGGCGGCACGCTGGAAATAGATCACGCCACATGGTTGCTACATTGCCGCAAATCGATGACGAATCGTGAAGACGAACTGCTTGCCAATATTGTGGGTGTGGCTGTGGGTGTGGGTGTGGGTGGACCTCTCGCCGCACCCTCAACAACAACAACAACAGCAACTGGAACGACATCAGCTGCAACTGCAACCACGACAGCGTCGCCGCTGAGCAACGGCAGCGTTGCGGCGTCAACAATTATCAGCGCCGTGCACCAGTTGGCCGGAAACAACACAACGGTTGTGACAGTCAGCGGCGAGCAGAGAACGGAAACCGGCGCCTCGAGCGCCGCCAGCGACGAGTCGGAGCCCAACGAGAACATCACAATAAACGGACTTAGTCCGAGTCACCGGACAGCCGCCAACGCCCCAGCCCTCGCCCCCGCTGCCGGCGCTGGCAACACGAGCAACGCAAGCAACGCGCTGCTCAAGCTCAACACGACCGGCATACAGCTGCAGCAGCAGGAGCAGAGCCAATCGAACGGCGCTGCTGCCGCCGCTGAGATTGGCCCAGTGTCAGCGGCAACAACGGCAGCCGCAGCTGCTGGCAGCGCCGGCGTTGGCGGTGTCGGCGAATTCTGGTCGGAAAATCCGCCGAGCAGCGCCTCATCTGGTTTCAGCGACGACGACAGCCTGGCCGGGCAGGAGGGTGATCCCAAAACGATTGAGCAAATCGTTCAAATGGTGCGCGAGCGCTGCCGCCATGGCCTGATCAAAGAGTATGCGGATATACGGAATCGGGCGCCCGAGGGCACCTTCCTGCATGCACGGTAAGTAGTCGCACGCAATCGAATCCAATAATCGACAATTAACAATCCGATTTGCAATCCATTTGCATTTGCAGCATGCGCAACAATTTGACCAAAAATCGTTACACAGACGTCCTCTGCTATGATCACAGTCGTGTGGTGCTCGCCCGCGAGGATGACGACGAGCTCTCCGACTATATAAATGCGAATTTCGTCGATGGCTATAAACAGAAGAACGCCTATATTTCAACTCAAGGTGAGAGCTCACCCAGCGAATCGATGTGCTTCCTACGGCTTCTCAGACACGCGCACCTACATAGAGAGAGAGAGAGAGAGAGAGAGAGAGAGAGAGGGTCAACTAAATACTCTAGAAAAGGAAAGGGCATATGGGTTATGTGCAAATGTACGCAGAAGCATCTCCAATCCCTAACTTAACTTTCAATTTGATTATATAGCCTCGACTTGTCTTTCGATATTCCATCTATTTGAACATTATCGATAAATATCGATTTTGAGAAGCAGAGCATTTGACTTTTAGGACACATCCCATCTTTTCCCCTAAAACTTAATGCTAAACTTTTGGGCTTTGCCATATAGGCTTGCACTATAAAACCCGGAGTTATTTCAGTACGTATTGCCCTTCGTTTGTGGCTTGTGTGTGTGTGTAGCTAAAATTTGTATATATCTCCCTGTCGGGCAGAGAGAGAGAGAGAGAGCTGACTAATTTGTGGTTTAACTTTGCCTTGCAGGTCCATTACCAAAGACATCCCAGGACTTTTGGCGCATGATCTGGGAACAACATTGCTTAGTTGTAGTTATGACAACGCGCGTCATGGAGCGCGGACGTGTTAAGTGCGGCCAATACTGGGAGCCGACTGAAGAGAGTTCCTTGGAGTTTGGCAATTACCATGTGCGAACAATTAGCGTCGAGTGCAATGAGGATTACACCGTTGCATCCCTAGAATTGAGAAACCTAAAGGTCAGTCGGCGTTATTTCCCTCTCTCGCTTCGCGTCTCTATTGCTTCTCGTGTCATCCATCAATCGAATTCTCTCGCCCGCAGACTGACGAAATTCGCAATGTGTCACATTGGCAGTTCACCAGCTGGCCGGATTACGGCGTGCCCAGCTCTGCAATGGCCATGCTCAACTTTTTGCAAAAGGTTCGCGACAAGCAGGCAGAGCTGGTTCGCGCCCTCGGCGATACCTGGGCTGGTCATCCACGCGGTCCGCCCATTGTGGTGCACTGCAGCGCAGGCATTGGACGCACGGGTTAGTATTCCAACATATTATATGACAATCATGATATCCATATGCATTTACTGTCGAATCCACTCGCAACTGTGGAAAATTTGTGGAAATTTGTTGTACGACAATTTGTCGTTTAAGCCCCACTCGGCTTTTAGAACTCGCAGTGGAAGTTATTTTAGAAACTGCATTTGAAATGTATTTCATGCTTTTTGCAATATCCACCATTCGTGTGGAAAATGAGCGGAAGAAACCGCTCTCAACTGTGGAAAATTGGTGTAAAACGATTGTATGCATCTTTTTCCTTTGATGCATTTTTGGCCTCAGGCTCATAGCTCTGCAATATAATTGTTTGATATATTGATTGCAAGTGACACTCCGATCGACTTCAAACTCACTTTGAAATATGCATGTATGTGAACTGTGCTCGGGTGGAAAATGGGTGAAAATGGGCAATGTTGGCTTATTTCCGGTAGTTAACCATTTATTATATCAAAATATCAAGGCTATCGATTACTTACCGTCATGTTTTGTTATGTTAATTGTTTCTGTTTTCTTTCCTGACCAGGCACCTTCATTACGCTGGACATCTGCATATCGCGCCTGGAGGATGTCGGCACCGCGGACATACGCGGCACCGTCGAGAAGATACGGTCGCAGCGCGCCTACTCCATCCAAATGCCGGATCAATATGTATTCTGTCATTTGGCGCTCATCGAGTATGCGATCTCGCGCGGCATGCTCCAAACGGTCGACTTGGCGGGCTTCGACGAGCGGGAACAGGACTCCGAGTAGGCATGGGCATTGACACGCAATTAAAACGCAGCCACAAGGAATACATATTGTATACAGATTACTTATATTTTGGTCATCCTTTTTTTTTTTTGATAACTTTTATTATTATTTTTATATAATATTATTATTATGAATTGAAATTGTAATTTTGTATTAGCTGCTTCATTCAGACCTTTAGGCAAACGATTTATGTTTATTTAATTATTAATAATTATGCCTTTTTTTAAACATATATATATATATATATATATATATACATAATAATTATGTATATGAAAGAGCAAGAGGATAGAGCAAGCGAGAGCGAATGATACAAGTTCGATGTAAGCGAATGGTAATTGTAAAGTTGACTACTTTATTTTTTTTTTTTTTTGTGTATGTTTCTGATTATTATTATATTATTCTAATTTAATATTTATGTGAAAATTAATGTATAGCTGCAAACTGTGCAAAGTAGTTGCTCGACTCTTTCTCCAGGTGTATGTGCATATGTATATGTGCACACATACACCCGGCGGATAAATGCCCAAGCAGAAAAATTGTACATGTGTGCGTGTGCTACTGTGTGCAAGTGCGTGCGTGCGTGTGTGCGTGTGTGTGTGTGTGTAATATAGTTCTAATTGACAGAACCCATAATTGCAAATCTTTACCGTATAACACTTGAGAACTGAGAATGTGCATACAAATATCCACACACACACACACACACACATAGAGACGCACACATACGAACATACCTACATAGTATGTATATGTATATGTATTTGTATTTATATCAACTTTTATGTAATGTACGTAATTAATATTTAAAATGCATTCTTTTCTACGCGAATCATTTCATGTTTAGAATGATGCCTATTTTTGAGAAACGCAAACATAATGTATATCCCCCCCCCCCCCCCCCCCCCCCCCCCCCCCCATCACCATCACCTTTAGCATCCCACTAACTAACAAGAATTGTAATTGTAATGTACATTTATTTAAATTAAATTAAAGTTGAAAACAAAATACAAAATACAAAAACTAGATACAAATAAAAGATCAGCATTATGCGAAATTGCAAAAAACAATACCTAAACGAAATGCGAAAACAAAATCAAATAAATAATAACAGCATGCTAAAAACACAAATGTTTATTTAACAGCCCGACAAAAGTTAACTACAAGAAAGAAACAGAATAAGTAGAGAAACTATAAACAAAGTTCATATGACGCTTAGAGAGAAACGTGGCAAAGTACAACGAAACAAAACGCAAGGCCAGGCCTCCCAAGCGTATAACAGTATAACACATTCAATTGTACTAAACCGTAATCGTAACCGAAACCGAAACCGAAACCGAAACCGAAACAGATGGGAAACAGAACAGTGAATGGAAGAGTTCAGCACAGAGTCCCCCCCCCACCACTCCCCACCCCACCCCCTCATCATTCCCTCAACCGTAATAGAACCATAACGAAAACGAAACAAAAAGAGAAAACAAGCTGATACCGTCCGGCGCAACGGAGGTAACACGGAAGGAGATTTGGAGATTCAGAGAGTCAATAAATAATTCAAGTAAACTATTTAATTATTTATTAGGAAAAACAGAAGCAGGCGTTCGAGACGAGTTTTTATGTGCAATTCCATTAATTTTTGCTGATTTTTACACTTTTTTTTATAGATATATATATATAAATATATATACACATTTGAGTAATAGAAAAATAAATAATGTTTATGCAAATCGCTGCAAAATTCCTACAATCAACTACAAACAAAAAACAGACAAGAAACGGCAGCAGCCAACTAGTTACATAGCATAACAGACATATATATATATATGTATATATGTACATATGCATGTCTGTGTCTATTTAGCTTGCATACATATATATATATATAATAGGCATACATTTTTTAAGCATTGTTTAACTGTTGTTGCATACACATAATAACGATAAATAGCCAGAAGCAAAGTGCAAACTAGTTTGAACCCCCCCGCAGCTGCATTTTCCGCCCCCCCGCCCTGTAAGAGGTTGACCCCACCAGAGGCCCCTTCTAGAAGAAGAAGAAGAGAAGAGTCCCCTTCAGTCGCTCGTCGAGAGAAGGAAACAACGTGTAAAATCTAAGAAAATACCGAAGATAACAAAAGAATCGAAAATTTTAGAAATAGAAGGAAGTTGAGAAAGAAAAAATAAACAAAAAACCGTCTTACTAGCTGTTGAATGTTATAACATATAATGTTTGTTTTTTTTTTTTTTTTTGGGGATTTTTATTTTGATTTCCTTTTTTTTTTAGTCTTTTGCTCTATTTATTAGCATTTTTGAATGTAGAACAAAATTAATTGTACATGTAGTGGAATTTTAATAAAAAAAAAACAAGAAAAATACATTTTACTAAGTAAATGATATAATATACATATATGTATGTTAAAAGAAGAGTCGCTCTGCATATGGAAATATACATATATATACATACATATACATATATACAGATGACATGCCTTCTTCTTTTTATGATTTTCATGTGCCAGGCAAAAAAGTAAAAAATTAAAACAACAACAAAAAAAAAACAAAGAAAAAAACATAAAAACTACAACTAAAATCAACATATTTTGTATTACCTTTTTAAATACTATAAAAAAGAAAAAAAGAAAAAAGATGATGAAAAATATTAAATAAAACATGATTATTTGGATGTTGTGTGGGGCAAGAAACGCAAAAGAAAATATATTAAAAAAACTGACAGCTTTCTATACAACTTAAAACAAATGGTATATTGAAAAATAATAATAATAATAATTAAAATAATTATAATAATGAAAAGCATTAACATTTTGGCCAAGGCAACTTTGTGCATATATTAAAGTATATGAAAGTATTATAAATATAAGTATGTATGAAATAGCTATATGCATATGGCGATTGCCTTTCTATCCTCACTTTACTGTGGGCGTGGCTCTCAAGTATGCATATACACAGCCACACACACACACACACACACACACACACACAATATTTTTGGTGCGAATTTAGTAAAAGGACAAATTTAAGAGCAAAATAATACATACACATACACATAAATACATTGTTGGCCACAAGCACACACACACACATGCACACACACACACACACACGTACATTTGTATATCATTAGAATTGTAAAAGCTGTGATCAACTTACTGAAAAGAGGAAAAGGTAACATAAAACATACTCCTGCTTACATATATACACACCCACACCCACACACACTCACACTCACACACATACACACTAGTCTCACCCAGATTCAAAAGAATAAGAATCATATATAACCAATCAAATAGATACCATACTGAATGGCACTCGAAATAGCTTAACGAATACGCGAGAAGAAAACAACTTTCAATTCTTTCAAAGGCCTTTTCGGAATGGGATAACAAATGGAAATGTATTTGCAACTCGATTCCAAAATTCAAAACAATGCTCTATTTTTGTAATGCTTGAAATGGATATAAAGTCGAAGAACCCCCAAAATGCCACATAATGCACACATATGTATATGTTATATGTATATGTACATAACCGTCAATGTCAATACCTATATATATATATATATATGTTTTTTTTTTTGTAGTCTCATATTTGTGGCTAAAGAAAAGAATTTATTAAATGCATGTACAATACTTGGATACATGCGTCTGTGCATGGATATATATATATATACATGTAACTTATAAATGATAAATTGATTTAGCAAAATTTCTTCATGTGTAATATGTACAATTAGTTAGAGTTACACTCACACACACACACACACACACACACACACACACACACACACACACACACACAAGCGCAAACTGTGAGGCATCTTTCCATTGAAAGCATTAGCACACTCACACACTCACACACACACACACACACACACACACACACATAACAGAGATCGATCCAGCCCACCCAAATCTGCGCACCTTAACCTAACCTAAAAAAGAAGAAAGAAAGAAGGCGAAATGAAATGAAACTTAAATACACAACCAAGAACATAATGTGTTATATGTCTATGATTAGGATTTATAATTAACACAATACTCTCTTCTGCTACTTCTGCTAAACATACCCAAACACATTTACATTTAAATAACAGCACTTCCATTGGCCCAGCTCAAAACTCTGTACATACATATATACATACATACATACATACATACATACATACATACAAAGGAAGACCTAAGTCCGAGTCGATTTACTTAAATGCTAATCCGCAGCAAGGAAATCTATGCCTAAAGAACGATCGCATAATAAATAAATACTTAAGTGCATATGTTATCATTTCATTACAAACCAAATAAAACAACTAAATATAAAAATAATAAAATAAAAAAAATGAAAATGAAAACGAAAAGACATTAAATTGGTATATGTAAAGCGAATTTCATTTGCTGAATGAAGAAAAAAACCAACAAAAAACAAATGAAAAAGAATGTGTAACAAAATATATAGAAAACAAAAGAAAATACATGTTGTTTAATTAAAAACAGTCAGAAACATTTGCAAAGGTCTATCAAACCAAAATCGGATTAATACACTAAATATTGCTTAAAAATAAACTTTGACAAAAGCTCGTTTTAGTGAAATCCGATGCTGGAAAGATATTCCTTCATTCATTCAAATTAAACTTTTCGATTTCAGAGCCCAACCATAAAATTGTGCATTTTTACAGACAATGCAGCCGCAGCTGTTAATTAACAGACAGTGCAGCTGCAGCTGTTAATTAACAGACAGTGCAGCTGCAGCTGTTAATTAACAGACCACTCACTGCCTGGAGTCTTGCCCCTGCGCGTATGCAATGAAAATTTTCATTCGCAGATTTGCTGTCTACGTGCTGGCCAATTCTGTTCGCCTGGTAGATCGAATGAATTTTTATTTAAATCTCTCGCACACTGGTTTTTTGTTATATTAATATTAATTGCCAACAAATGTGCCTTGGTAGCACTAAGAACAGATGTTTGGTTATTTATTTCTTTGAAAAGTAATTTCTTGTCTTCGTCGTTATGAAATGTTACCTTATACATACGAGATATTCCAATTAAAATAATGTAATAATGCTTTAAATGTTTATAACTCAGCTAAATAAACTCGGGAACATGGAAAGATATACTTTCTGAACTTGTTAAGCTCCACGGTTTTTTTTTGGACTTTTTCAGAGCCAACGGAATATTCACAAAAATTCGGAACGGAATTTTCACAAAAATTCGGATGTTATCCCTTGTAAATTGTTAAAATTGGTCCAAATCAAGAATGTGGCAATTGTAGGGGACTTAAATCACAAAGACAGCATTTGGCTTTTCAAGTAAAAGGCTCACATTTATTAATTCGTTAATTATAGTTAATTTATTCAATAAATACACGCACATAATAATACAATAAAACGTTCTCATTTATCAATATACTCGTAGATAGTCCAAAAAAGCGTTTTTCTATCCTGCTCTAACTCACTTTCTTCCTCTGTCTCTCATTATCCACTTTGTTTATCTTGCGCTTAACTAATGCCAAAATATATGTAAACAAATCACCATTTATTATTATTTTGTTTTTTTTTTCTTTTTTGTTTCAAATTTATTTGTTCGCTTTTCAATGCTAACATTAAAAATTTGTATCCATTTTCATTGAATGTTTGCTAATAAATTTCGTTATTTTGATTTGTAGTTAAGATTAATTTGTATGCGCCGAAAAAACCAATAAAGCCAAAGCAACGCATTGGACCAATTTGTATTGGGTGTCAGCCAGATCATATGCTATATATATATATACATATATACTTCTATGCATTCGGGACATATGCATGTGCGCCCAGAATATGGACACGCATATGCAAATACATATATACATATATATATATATATATGTAGTC